CTATAATGGTGTCGGGTCAAAACTCGTGTAGAGCATGCTCAATTAATTTTGACGTAAATATATAGTTTATTGATTTGTTTACGACCACGTAAATATATCGTTTCTTTATATATTTACGTAAAGCTACGTGTTTATCATGTAATTTACCACGTAAATATATCGTTTTATGCATTGTTTACGGTCGGCCCTCAATAAGAGGGAAGTGCGCATGCGCTATCGATTTCACGTAAATATATCGTTTAGCGACGTGTTCACGGCGACGTAAATATATCCACTTCCTTAAAATAAATAGCTCCCCTAGTCTGAGCCTAGCTTAGGCTAGCTGGGCTATGCCTAGAAAAGAGGGCCTAAGAGCTTATTCGGCCTAGGCTCTAGCTAGGGTAAGCTAGGAGGTATGGGAGAGCATATCGGGAATGGGAGAGTTATACTTTACCTTCACAGTTAATGGTACCTTCTAGTCCACCTTTGATACCATAGATAGCAGCATCTCCAATCGTTGCCAGTATTTTCTGGCACTCGTCATCGAGTGCCGCAGGTGCTTTTAAAGAAACAATGGCAAACGCGTTCAACAGCACAAACCCGTTTAGACGCGTCTGGGACATATTCGGACTAGCTTATTAATATTCATGAGGCACGATAATTAGACGATCGCTTTCCCAGACGCGTTTGTAATACATGGTTTTCCCAGACGCGTTTCTGTCGTTGGGGATAATTTGTAGATCGCGCCTTACCACCCCCTGTCTTATTGGATTCATGACGATGCAATGCTCCTTGCTTTTTGCTCTCTACTTTGATGTTGGACCACTTTTTCTTTATCTCCTCAACTGTTCTAACGCTACCTCCAACAGCCCAAACCTCATCGGCAACCTCTTCCCATGCTCTCTTCTTTTTTTGGCTGCAGGTCACCGTTGACCCACATAGACTCCCATTAATAATGCTTTTTCTCCTACTTACGCCGCCTACGATTGCAGTAATTTCATTTGCTGAGAAATGAGTATTCCTCTTTGACTTAGATGGTTCCATCTTGTTAACTCAAGAACAAACGGGTCTATGAATGATGATGTGTGTATGGTGCGAGTGCGTCGTATCATACAGACGACGAACCAAGGAAGTAAACAAAAAATTGCGCCATCTAGGTCCGCGCCGTTTTTCAAAAGTAGTAAAAATCGTATTACGCATGCGTAAGCAAATATTTTTGGACTTAAGACAAAATTTGCTGCCCTCTATAAACTACAAGAAGTCGATTGTACGCATGCGCCATATAAGACGATTTTTTTGCTAAGATTTTGCTAAGACGGTTTGATAAATCAGCTTATGATTTTTGCTTAGCTACTTCTTAACTTTTTTGACTTAAGACATTTGCTAAGCTGAGATTGATAAATCCCGGGCCTGGTGTAAGGCTCCGCGCAAAACCTAGGCCTAGGCTAGACTAGAAATCCATGTAAAGTTTGGAAAATGAGGGCATAATTCCGCACAAGTTTTAGCTAATTTTTGAGGTATCATCCACGCAATTAAAATACTTTACAGCTGTTTTACACTAAAAAAAAATCTCCAATATATAGCACACCACTAAGAAAATTTCAGTTAGAAATTTAGGCTTATTTAAATAGGTAAGGTTGAAGGTGACATGACGTCATTTCATGAATTTAGTGTAAAAGAAGTCAGTCGTGCGTCTTTTTATCTAATCAAAAGATTATATTAGGTTAAGTCATTTCATATCCATAGGGGCAAATCCATGGTAACTTACGTTACATTTTTCCTACTTTCATGCAATCTACTGATAATTACACTTACACCGTCCGCCCTTCAATTTAAGACCTCTCTGTGTATCTGAAAATTGGGGCGGTCTTGGGGCTTGGTCTCAAATTAGAAACCTCTAAACAGGGACCATCATGAGGCAAAAGTCCCCGTTAGCAGAAATGGTCCATAGTGAGCTGTCTGATAGTTGAGAGTGAGCTGTCAAATGGTCCAGAGGGAGCTGTGCGCAGCTCCATAAAATTAACTTTAATTGGTTTTAAGAGTCCATTGGGAGTTAACAAGAGAGTCCTGCCAACAACATATAGCCATTGGAATGTAAACAACAATCACTTACTTCATCTCATGGGCTTCAGTGGCAATAAATAATTTAAGAACCCTTCGCTATTCAACAAACCAGCAGGATGTATAACCCGAGTTTTTTTCCAAAAGCCGGGTGCCATGGACCAGTTCTGTTAATGGCCAGAAATGCAGCATGATGGGCTTGAAGTTGTCTCAAGCACCATAATTGGAGGGTAACTGAATCTGAAACCTCTAAATGAAGACCGAAGATAAAAATGGTCTCCAAATGAAAACATGGAAAGCAGAACTGTTGTTTGCTTTTTAATTTTTTACCAACTTAAAACTGATAAAAAAACAGTGAAACAAAAATATGAACAGCATAATATAAAGCTACGGTTGGGATCTCATGGGTCACGACCCAAGTTTGCTACACTTCTCTAATATATATAGTAACATGAGGAAGAGGGAACAAATTGTCATTCCTTGTCAAATCAACCAATTTGTCGGAAAATGGTTCTGGTCACCTTTCGGATTTTGCTGAAAATTTTTATAAGTTTGTTCTGTCTATATACTGAACAAGTTGAGTTACAGCCCATCAAACTTAGGTACTAAAATGTGTTGAAATAAATATAAGAAATTGGCTTATTTTTCCGAAATTCGGAAACGACTTGAATTTGGGAATTTGTCTTTTATTACATGTGTTCATTATACAGATAGATCAACAACATAAAAAAATTTCAGCAAAATCTGAGAAGTGACCCATAACCCCATTGATTGAATTAACACGGAATGACCCTATTGACAACTTTCACAACATTAAACTTGAGACACAGGAATATAAACATCCGTATTTGGTAACTTCCGTTACATGGTCCCATGCAAATATTTACAGATTGCATGCTGCTGTAACTTAACTGAATCAATATTATTTTAAAAACTTTTTTTCACATGAAAATTATGTTAAATATGACTGCATAAAGTACAAATTGAATCGAAAACCTTCCTGTGGATTTAATAACATGTGTTGAAAAATTGCATTATTTTCAGTTAAATTTTGAATTATTAGTTTGCATCATTTCAGTTTTGGCTCAGATTTTGAGTAGACAGCATGTAAACTATTGGTATTGGTGTGTTTCCACACACTTCCTTGTATATACAAATCAAATTGATGACATTTGGCTTCATTACATTAACTTTAATTTTTTTATCCATGTCCACATTTTCATGGAATTGCCCATAGCACTTTCATGGAATTGCCCATAGGCAACGTGAAATGGATGGATAAAAAGTGCATGATGGAACAAAATTTTCATGAATGGTGAAATGAGAAAGATAACTAATGTCATGTGGTACCAAATCAACCAATCAAATAAGTGGGATCTATTTGGTGCGTTATAATGTTGAATATTGAATTGATAGAACTTCTGGAAGAATTTTCACAGCATATTTCCATATTTATTGTATAATATTGTATTTATTGTTTGAAGTGCATTTTTAAAACTTACAGTGGATATGTAAATTAAAATTTTTTTTTTAATTTTTTAATATCCTGAATGATTTGTAAGTAAAAATATGAATACTTGACCTTTGGTAGTGCTTGTCTTATTCAAAATGAATTTATTTTCAATGAACAATTGACCATTAATTCTGGCATTACTGATTCCACTTTTGCAATGTACTGTAGACATATACGAAATACTGTAGATAGTGTTATGTGCAGCATTATTGTCATGTTCTTTGTGTAGGCAAGTATAAAGTTCAATACTTTGAAGATAGACTAACAAGATATTTGTTTGAACATCAAGTGAGTACATACTTGCTTTGTTTTATTACTTATATTTATCTGAGTTCCGCAAAGCAGGTGAGTGAAATCACCTTGTAATTTGAAGCTCCTGGTTGAACCATTCTTCTATCTATGAAATAATTCTACCAGACAATTATTTATACATTTACAGTATTATACAGTTTTTTATCACATTAACTATAAAACACAGTATATTTGTTATTATTTTATTACCGTATATTCCAGTGTATAAGCCGCAAATTTTACACGCGATTTCAACTCTGAAATACAGCTTGCGGCCTATACACCGATCATGAACATATAGACATAAAAAACCGGGGAGAAAATAGTCTAGGTTAGGCCCAGGCAAGGCTAGCTCAATTAATTAGCATATGTTTTCTATCCTAGTATTTGTAATTATTCTCACTACAGTGCTGCACTGGGATTTTATACATTTTTATGTCATTCAAGCAATGGTTTGTATAATTACTTTTTCAGTGTTTTTTATTTTCACATATAACCCCTATATAAAACCTATTTTAACCCCGCTTCAATATCAAATGATTATTTTTTTTTGTTCCTCGAGTCAAAAGAGTAGATTGATGAATATCTTCAAAACGCACAAACAAACTTGTGTCTGGTTGACAGTAGGCCAGGACAGATATAGAAAACATGATTGTCTACTTAGTGATTTCAGAATATAAATTCAGATTTCTTTAAATTATTCAATTGTATTTTAACTGTAGCATTTTTTCTATAACATAGCCTCCCAACGATCAGACATCGTACAGTGAGTTTCAACTGACAATGTGTGTTTTGTTACCTCGATGACCATGTTTCAATCATTGTTTATGAATGAATGCAATATGAAAATAATTATTTAAACATTGCTTGAATGCCATAGAAAATGTAGGAATCTTGATACAGTACAGCACTGAGTGAGTATAATTACAAATTCTAGATGAGCAAACACATGCTAATAAAATTGCACTTGTCTGAGCCTAACTTATACGAATTCGTCCAGGTTCGCTATCTGGAATTTTTGAAGAATATACCGTAGATGACTAGTGTATAGCCCGAACTTTGGGGTCAAAATCATATATAAAATGTGTAGATTATACACCTGAATATACGGGTACCGATAAAAAAAATATATACTTAGTAATCACATACAGAAAAATATTGTATATACCGGTAGTTTTTAAGTGCAGATTGATATTAGAACAATATTTGTTAATCCATGGAGCTTACTACTGCTGTATATAGCACCATGGACTTATAGTGTGTCCTGCTGAGTTAATTACCCGGTAATCCTTTAAACAAAAAATATTGTTTACTTGGCTGATGGTGTTATAGTCACATGCAACCTGACTGTGTGGCACAAATGTCGGGTTGGCTTTCTGAAAATATGTCCACATAATGTTTTTATGTGTTATTATGATCAAAAGCATTTGGAACATGGGATGGTAGAGCTTTTGCAACAGTTGAAAGCAATTTTAGAATGGAATGCTGTAGCATCAACATTTTGAATATATATTATTTCTTTAAAAACACTGCGGTCAAGTTCACACAAAAGCCCTAGTATCCGGATAAGGAGCTAACCTTTAGCACCCATGTGTGAACGCCCTATCGGTTAGAGATAACCGTTACCAGTGTCCAAATACACTAACCGCTGGCGAGCGCTATCGGTTAGCAAGTTACATGTTTCCAATTTCCAGTTTCCTATTTGCCAGTGATTCAGTCATCATATTCTTGGTATCTGGATCGGGAATTGCCTTGTATGAACGCACTGCAGCTAACAGTTAGCAGGATCCAGATCCTGCTGTTAGCTACCGTGTATGAACATAGCCTGCAGAATAGTCTACAAGATAGATAACACACTTAAAGAGCTGTAATATTATGCCTGTTCCCTAATAATACTTATGTGTTTTTAATTGGTTGAGTACCATTCAAATTTAAGTGAATTTGACATGTAATTGTTAGACTTCTGTGGGTTATCCTAGGTGTGCAAACTGAATAAATCCATCTAGTTGTATTTTTTATTACAATGGACAATGAAGAACAAACTTCAGATAGTTTGGATGTAGATGAGCAAGAAGCAGCTTCAGATAGTTTGGAGGTAGGTGAAAGAGCAGATGATTCAGACAGTTTGGATGTAGATGAGCAAGAAGAAGCTTCATATAGTTTGAAAGAGCAGAGCAGG